TGAAAAGATGCCTGCTTGTCTGTCAAGAAAAGAGAACAACCAGGATAAAAGCTTGGTCAGCAAACTGATCAGGTGAACAACTGGGTCAGCAGTTCAAGCAGGTAAAACAACTGAGTTAGCAAATGAAGCTTAGCAATCTGCAGAAAAGTGTTTATATAATCTATACTTGATAACCTTGTAACAATGTATTTAAGGTGAGCACCTGACTGTGGCCATGCACTTGCATTTAACCCTATGCTGTTTTGGTAGACTGATCACATTCATTGAAGCAGGAAATAAACAACGCATGTCTTCATTTCAGAGATCTGTCTGTGAACCTGCACTTTCTGGGCAGCAGGGAAAAGAACCGATCAACAATTAGCAAAACCCAGGAGATAAAAAAGCTCACTCGTTGAGCCCTGTATACGAAGCGGCACTAGAAGTGATGAAGAAAAGATTGTTTCAAATGCCACACAAAACAATCTGTCTTCAAATAGTTCTTGTTTCCAAACTCTTTGCATTATTCTGCTTAGTTCTCTCCACTCGGAGCTCCCAGAGGTAGATGCTAGATAGATTGTAGGACAGGCAAAAGGATACAAAGCCTTTCATATATGAATCACAAGTCAATAATGCCCCAGAGTTATCATCAGATGGATATCAGATATTCTAAAGTGGCTGTTTCTGTCCAGTAAGTAGGTAAATGTCCATCCCACAGAAACCACCATCCAAGTAGTGCCAACCTCAGAGGCATACAGGACTGAATAGACAAAGACTAATTAGCTACTTGCTCCCAGAGGTGGTGATCTCATCCTAAAATGGGTAGACAGACATTGGCTCTGTGGGGCAGGAGGAGCTGTGGACATTATATAAACAAATAGTGATGCTTTTTATAGCATAGATGCTGAAAGTCAGCTAAGAAAAAATATAAAGTAGTGTTTTCCAAACATTTTACCTGGCACTCCCTTGCCCCTGTCCTTGTCCCCTTTCTCTTTCCACCTCCCCCGCCCTGAGTAGGACCAAGAGGTGGGGCTGGCAGCTGGGATACCAAACATAGGGCCAGAAACAGGCCCGGGAATAGGTTGAGTGTGCTGCAGCCTCCCCTTTCTCCTGACAGTTTTTCATTTACACTCTTCTGGCACCTTATAAACAAACTAAAATTCTCTTTAAAACAAAAAGGTGTGTCAAATTCCTAAAATATTGTCCCAGTTGGGGGGTAGGGGTTGAAATGATGCTGATACCATAAAAACCAGTTGTATCTGCACAACACGAAGCACCAAAAGGGATCCTCTCCTTTAAATAATAAGCCTCGGACCAGAGAAGAAGTGCACAGATATATGCAGTGTAGAAATTGGAGATGAAGAGAATAAAAGAATACTAGAAATTGTCTCCAATTTTACATTAAGGGTATCTAGAATAGCATGTGTGCATAGACACATGCACCAACCCACCTTTAAGAAATAAGGAGCAATTCAAACAACTCAGCTTATTAATGGAGGGACACTAACTCCCCATCCTCCATCCCACTCTGCTTGGTCTTCTCTCAACCCAACAAGATGTCTAGAATTCTCTTGAAAAAAGACAACAAAGGAAGAAGGCTGCCCTGATTGCCTTATATCATACACACTTCCATGTATTGCAACCATCTTTTCCAACTCATTCACAATTCGGCCTTGGAATTGCAAGACTGCCAATGAGTAACTCACCTCACAGGCTGTTCATTCTCCACCTTTGTCAGTAAGAGCCTATCTGATCTCACTACACAGCAACATTAGGCCATGTCAATTCTTGGCTGAGACACTGCCAAAGAACCCCTGTTACTGATGGAAGATGGACAGACTGCTGGTGTTTCTGTGCAATAGTTTTTCTTCTAGCCCAGAGTCCTAGAAATGGGTGGGTATTATGCTGCAGGAGGTGGTGTCTTCCAATATGAATTGAAAAACGAAGACCCTATTATTTGTGGCTATTAAAATTCCCATGTCAATTTCACAAGAGTAGGGGCATATATATGAGCTGTAATTGGCCAGAGTGGTAATTTTATTCCATCTACATAAATCCTCACTTCCACTGCAACTGAATATAGAATGCTCTCTCATCTTCTGGCTATGCTATACTATTGCTATAAAGCTGTCTATTGCCTAGCACAAGCCACTCAGTGGTTGCTTTTCAGTGGTGCAGGAAGGAGCCCGTCTGTAAAGCACAGAATCAACCCAGTAATTAGTTAGCAGCAGAAAATGAAGATGAGATTAACTGTGAGTGGCAATTGAAACTATCTGGCTCCTCACCTACAAGGAATTTGTTTTCAGACTCTGCCTTGTTGTTCTGGGTTCTCTCCACTCAGACCCACCTTCTTGATGGTTGCATCTTACTTTATTGTAAAACCTTCTCTTTCCAAAGGGCTGGGAACAGAGCTAACTTTTGAATAAAGGAAGAGAACATCTCACATTTCAGAATGCACCAGCAATGTTTTCCATCTGGTATACAGTGCCTCCCTCTGCTGCAAGGTTTTTCCTTTGCCTGCAGTTGGACCAGAGTCCTGGCATTTTCTGTGGACTCCTACACAGCTGTTTGAGTAGGAAGAGGACCTCTGCCTTCAGAAACAGTGTCAAATCCACTGGATCCTATTACAATAATCACTCTAAATAAAGTCCTTTTATAGTTTTAGCACTCAGGAGCAGATAGTTCTGCAGATCAGGGCACAAGAGTAGAAAAGCCTTACAGTGCCTACCCTCCCCCTCTCTTGCGCAAAACCACTGGTTTCTGTGAGCAGGGGAAGCAGAATCTGCATAGCTGCTATATCCCTTCCCCTCCACACAGATGGAAAGGGAATAGGCAGGGCCCTGGCTCCCCATCCCTTTCCTTGCTGCTAACCTTGCCTGGCAGCAACATGCTGCTGCTTATCTCACTCCTGCAGAATTGGAGAGACTTCCATCTCATAAGCTTGCTTCAGGGGAAGTGCAGCAAAGTGCGGCCCCTGCGTCTGGGCTGGATAACAAACTGATAAGATAGCCCACCAGCTGAAGGATGTTCATATGAGCAGCAAGGGATTCAGCAGTAGGAGGAGGAGGAGGATGGAGAAAATAGCTCTAAAATGGGTGTTGAACATGTGGCTGAACATTCTTCGCTCCAATCCCAGCTCACTGATTATTTTGTTAAGCAGGGTGCACATGGCTTGGCTGAATGAATCAGGCCTTTGAGGAACACTGACTTCACAAGCCATGACCAACGAATGTCTTAGGATGTGTTCCAATTGTCATTTGTATCCTGATATCCAATGATACCTATATCAGTACAAAGAGTTATGTGCAAACCTCTTTCTAGAAAACTTTCCTAGATCATCATGTTCTGTCACAACTTTGCTTATTCTGAACGGTTCCTTTGATTTAACTGAAGAAACTATTCCAACCTAAAAATGGGTAGAGGGTAAAGTCTGATATCAATACATTTTCTATATGTTCTAATCCATGATTACTGGACTATTACTCCTTTTCCCTTGCCTTTTATAACTGCAGCTCTTGCAGTGCACCCCCAATCAGATGGAGGAAAAAAATGGTATAAGTGACTTTTCTGGATGCCTGTGTAGCTTGGTGGTGTTCGATAATCATGCATTTGGATCTCTTTCTGTGTGTGTAAGCTCTAGTATAGCGGAGATGCAGTACCTAATTAATGTGGTAAAGATCAGGCTCCTGACCCCATCAGTTTCTTCTTCAGTCCCTTTGCTTGTGAAACAAAAGTAAGTTCCTAACTCACGGCTATGCAGGATTCTGAGTGTCTGATTATACAGTCAAAGTTAAAGCAGAGCTTATAGAAACAGCAGCATCTCTCCCTAAGACAGAAGCCTGACTGGCAGCAGATTCAGCAGAGGGCATTTTGCCCTGGTGTACACTAGGGCTTTATTTCGAAATAACATCCCTTAGATCAAATTTATAAGTGGAGCATCCACACTACCAAGCTTGATATTTCAAAACAAGGGGCCAATTAATTTGAAATATGTACTCCTGCTTTTCTCGGGGAATAATACAAATGTTAAACAGTTATTTTGAAATACCATTAGTGTGGATGCTCCAGTGCCACTATTTTGAAATAACTACTCCCCAGAGTAATTCGAACTAATTACACTCCAGTGGTTCCTAGGGCTCTGAGCCGAGGTAGCATGTCCACATTAATGGAGCTTGCGTAGGACGAATTTCGAGGCTTCTCTGTAGTAGGGACATGCTATTTTGATTTTGTAAAATCAGGAGTTAAGTCAAATTTAGTTATTTCAAAATAGTTTCCTAATGTAGACCCGGCCTTTGAAAATGATGCAGCTTTTCTTTTTTTCTTTTTGCTTTGATGTTCTAAGGATGTGATTCAAAAGCCCCTGAATTAAAAAGGAATCTTTCCATTAACTTCAGTAGGTCTTGGGTCTCATAAAAAGGGAGTTTGTGTTATGTACAGCTTATAGAGCAAAACCGAATAAAGATTATGTATTTGGCTTTGAATACTTAGAATGGGATTTTCTTTAAATGTTCTGGTTTGGCCTAACTCCAGTTCCTTTAAGTCAACAGAAATTTTATAATTAACTTTAAGGCCACTACTGAGAACTTTTATAAATCTCACTCTGAATCTTATGATTAAAGTGGCTGTCATCCCAGACTACACTACAGTATATGTACTTCGAGGTAATGTGCACAGGGAAGTAAATCCCGCCTAGATGCAAGTAAAATTTGTGAGCCTGAAGCAAGTAATGCAAAGTGAAAGAATTATGTACACTAAAGTAGATGAAGTCATAGTAGAGGTGGTACAGTTTTGTCCAAGTGATACAGAAATAAAAAGACATTTGTATTACCCTTATTTCTCTGAATAAATTCAGATGACAGCCCCATTTCATTTCTTCATTCAGTTTGGAGGCCAGATGGCATTAGAATCATTTACTTCACCTTGTTGTGCTTAATTACTACAATCAACACACTATTTTCCAAATTAATCATAACAAAGTAATTTCATTAGTAACACAGCAGGCTGTTGAATTATTAGCATCATAACAGTTTGCAAACAATTAAACTTTATTTGAACCTTAAAAATTTGCAGAGTGGAACATTATTGTAAGATCTAATGACAATATAGTACAAATTCAGTACAGAGCAAATAATCAACTAAAAATGCTGTATAAAATATGACTTACAATCACCTTTGGAAAAAAATTAGCTGTCTTACTGCTCATAGAAAGGCAAATGAAACCCAAGCAAATAACAAAGCAATTAAGCACATTTTCTATTTTGTTTCAGTTGTAATAATGGGAATCTTCACATCCAAAAAAGGTTATGGCATTTGCAACGATTTAAAGTAAACACTTTCCCCTATTTTGCATTGTTAGTTTATTCTGAGAAATTTCAGGTCAGGGCTTTCGGTCAGAGTTATGGGTCTCTGTTTTAGAATATCCTAGTTTTCGAATGTTTATGCAGTTTGCTAGCTAAACTCTTCCATGAAACTTAGTGAGGAAAAGAACCCAAAGGGATCTAGGAATGATGGACAAAAGAGGCTTTATTTCTACTTGTGTCACCATCACCAGGAAAAACAGCTCAAAAAGCTTTTTATTCATCAGTTAGCTAAGGACTCCCTCTCCTGGATTAACAAGCAAAGAGAAAAGGAGCCCTCCAAATGTTTTAAGTTGCAAATCATGTGCCTGTACATGAGACATTGGTCGGGGGAAGGGTTTCAAACCAGTTCAACATGCTACGAAAATCTGCTGCCATCTACTGACAAACCATTGCAAAATCTTCTCTTTTTATATTACAATATAAATATAATTGTGTGCCTACTGGTACTACTGTAGTTTATGATTTGTCAACATGAGACACTCATTTCAAGGGTTTAACTCAGCTGTAGAAATTTTCTATGGCTTTAATTTTGGCATATAAAGTATCTTTTTAAAAATCAAATTTAGCTTAACAGATTTTTTCCTTTTTTATTTTACAGGCAACTGATGTGTGCATAATATATTTGACAAAAGAGCTGGTACAAAAAGAAAGTAATTGTGGTGACTTTCTGATTTGTGTAATTAATACAGATTAACGTGGATTTATCGTGCAGTCATTTTAATGAGGAAAAAGTTCTCCTGATATTGACAATTCACACACAAACACATTATATATTTTTTTCCAGAAGTACACTTGATAAAATAAAGATTTAAAGTTATAATCTATAATTTTAATTCTTCCCAGATTATATTACATACCAACCTGGTTTTATTTAACAAAAAGTTTATAAAAAACCCTCCCCTTATTTTACTCCTACTAGTAGTCTTGAGTAACAAAAAGTAAAAGAAAGAAACATTAGTGGTCTAAACCACACACAGACAAAAAACTACTTTTTAACCCATTCTGTTTTCAGGGCTAGCCTGAAGCATTAATAGCACAAGCAACTTACTAAGAACTGCATAAACTCAGCAACTCACAGACTGGCCTGACCTGCTGTTTTGGCAGCTTGAAAATCTTAAAAATCATAGGGCTAACCTCTACTTGTTTCCAGCTGTGTTAGAGACTCTAGTAGGTGATCTTAGGTACTGTGTATTTTAGTATGTAAGTACAATTAGGAGATTTTAAGTATTAACTCTGAATTGTTCTGCTTTTGTGTACTTAGATGAAATGTTTTCTACGCGTGTGTGGTTTAAGTGAGTAACTCCAGATTTCAGATTTTATATGGTCAAGACTGTAGATAACCTGCATTCACAAAATGTCTTATAGTGTTCAGAGGCAAACAAGGATCATTTACATAAGTAAGGTTTACAGGATTGGCCTAATGACAGCATCCATACTTCAACAATAACACAACAGGTATGTAGACTCTTTTGCTGACAAGGAATCACCCACAAATGTTTTCTTTTTATACAACAGGTGTTGTGAACCCAGACTATATCATTTTTATTCTGATGTCCATATTTCTCACAATGTAAATCTGCCAATAAAAATAGAATGGTATAAAACAGAGTAGTTTAAATTATTTTAATGGAGCTGATTTACATAAGTTGAGATTCTGGTTTATATATTATTCTGTGTGTATAAAGCATTATTCTGCATAAAAATAAACTGACATGAAAAAAATAAATGATGCAGAAATGTAAAAAAATATGAGGAAAATAATAATTTGCTACTGTCAAAGTGCTACTAAATTTCTAAGAATTAAATAGGAAAAGATTACCTGATTCCATTTAAACAAAGCATATCTATGACCATAAAGTGCACTTAATATTTAAGCAAAACAGCAATAGGTACAGTTTTGCTGCTTGTCCATCAACACTTTCTATTGCGTGTCACAGTATTGTAGTTATACAACAAAGGATTGAACAGAGTACGTTTCCAAAAAGACAAATGATAAAGTAGCATAGAGATGAAGAAAAATGTAAAAATGTTTAATGTATTTGATGTGGTGGTATTACTAAATCCATCAAACAACAACAAGTACACACAGTTGAATCTTTCCATTTTGGAAACCTGGTCTGGAAGGTGCAGTTGTACATCACTCTTGATTGTAATTGCAGACTTCTCCTGATTAGGAAGAATGACATTTACAATACACTGTTAGTCAAAAAATCCAACAAATACCAAATCTCTCTCTCACTCTCTCTCTCTCTCTCTCACCCCCCTCCCGCCTAAAATAACTAGAAAGCTTGCAAACTTGATTCTATTGAAAGGACAAAATAAAGGAAGCTGGTTATAGAATACATCTAATTCTAAGCACAATAGTTATTTTTTATTTCATATACAAACCCAGTTTCTTTAATTGAACTTTAAGATAGTGGCAAAATATATTTGTCAACAGAACTCCTGCAAAGGTTCCAGGAAAGAAATACTTATGAAACAGAGACCAAGGGAACATATAAACCATTACAGAAGATTGGATTAAAATGTACTTACCCAGGCCTCTCAAATCTCATACATCTCTATTATGTAGTCTCTAGGCACCAGGCCAATGGATCCCTTCATTTCTCCTACCCACCAGCCAAATCTATGGTACTCCTAATTGAAAACAATATGCAATATTAACCTTTAGTCTGATATCAATGCAACAGAGTTTATATGAAACTTCTTATGGATATTTCCTCTTATATACAGTTATAAGAACTTGAAATTAAAATAGAAAACTTTAGATTCTTTTGCTTGCGGCATTCAAAATGCATGATTAGGCAAAGAAATACATTACATTTGAAATACCAGCATATTTGTTACAGTGTTTTGAAAAAAACCCCTAATGTTTCTCTACAACAGGTAAAAATCACACTTGCGCTCCCTTTTCTCCCTAAAACCTATATAAAATCCTATTGTGTGTAACTAATATCCAACAGGGGAATGCTGAAGTTATGGAAATTTCCTAAACGTAAAGGAACTTACAATCAGATTAAGATAATTTTTTTCTCAAATATGAAAGGAATGTCAACTATCTAATGCATATTCTCTTTCTATGGACAAAGTATACCATTCTTTAGCCTTGCTGAAAATTCTTTAACAGCTCTCATATGTCTGGCAGATTACAACTGTATTTATGTTTGAAATTTGTTTAGGCTTAGTGAGACAAATATGAAACAAAATGAATGACAATAGTTTAAAGAAAGAATATTTCCAAAAAAAGCAATACTAAGAAAGAGAATTTTGGCATTCAAATTTAATTTTTTTTTATGAGGTGACTAATTTAAGGTCAATCTTAACAGGAGTTCAATAAATAGCAACTGCTGAAATTGTGTGTATGCATACATGCACCGAATTACACAAGACCCTCTTTAGAATAGATTGATTAGTAAGATAATTACTGTGGAACAAACATGGAAAATAGAATACACAGAGATCTATATAATGAGCAACATTTGCTTCCTACCATACTGCTCTTTTGGGGGTGGGGGGAGAGAAAGAAAACTAAAGCAAAAAGAAAGGCTGTATGATTTCTGAGTTGATGGTTCTATTGTGACACTATGAGCTATTTTGCCTATAGCTAAAGCTATTTATGACATAGCAGCCAAGTGAAACCTAAAAGTTTAAGGGTTAATACTTTTGTATTATAACTTTAATTATACTGACTTGCAACTAACAAGAGGACTATTTACCCCATTTTCCCAATCCCTTAATTATCCTCTTTATTTTGTTGTTGGATGTACAGATAGATCCGATTCACAGATTAAACAGATTCCCTTCTTCTACCCTCCAAAATAAATAGAATACTAATAATCTGAAAGTCCTGTCCTCTAATATATAAAATATGACAATGAATGTGAAATTAAAATAATCCAATACAGATTAAGCTGGAGAACACATGATTGGGAGAAGCTAAGGAAGGAATTCCACCTCCTTCTCAACTCTGTAGCAAGGGATTGTGGGCAACTCCCTGGTCTACAAAAGCCTAGAGCAATATCAATGAGGCTGGCAGTGAGAGAATTACCCCGTTACATTTCAAGAAAAACTGAAGGAATTGTTATGAAACACCCTACAGTCAAAAACCTTAAAAGATTACGGAAATGTTCAAATATCGGGGACAACAAATGTTCCAGCTCAGCTTGTTTGTTTACTACATTTTATTATTTATTTATAAAATCAAAATATGCTGCTTTAAGTATACAAACTAGCTCTAGACTAGAAAGTGGCAATTTCTCAAGATGCCAGCACTCACCTATGCTAAAGGAATTTCGCCAATTAATCTTCCTAATGAAAAAGCAACAAGATACTTTAAGCTGCTATGTGTAACTCATGAAGTGAGCCCAAGAAAGATTGATTAAGCAAGTTTTACTAGACATCACCAAAAACAAACAATACATGAGATCAGGGAAGAGGCTTAGTTAAGTGGTCATTAAAACACTTATAACAAATGGCACAGAAGAAGGTTGTGGACTAAATTATTGCTTGAAAATGTTTCACTTAAAGAGAATGTGTGAACTTTGATTCCAGATTAACTTTTAAAAAGCTATTCAGATGGCCTAATTTAAATTACAAACATGTTGCTCTTTGAAACTTTCTGTTTCTTGCTATTTGGTAATATGCCATTTAATGCTCTTGTGTGAAGCTAAGTGATAAGATGAAATGGATGGTGATGTAACAGTCTAGTAAGCTAATTTATGGAATCACTGCAGCCATTAGACCATAAAGACAAGCCTGCAACATAGAAGCTTTTACTTTATCATTACTGTTCTTTTGTATGAGCCTCTAGAGCAACATGAATCCCAATTAAACCATCTGTAGTCAATAGAAATTGGAACAATAATATAATAAGAGTTCCTGGTGACCAAGAATATAATATTTTAACCTTAGGTTTCATAGTCATCATTACATACAAGTCCCCTTTATAAACTGTGTGTAATGTGTGTATGTCTCTCTCTAAATACTAACTCTCACCTGCCTGCATACCCTTATTCAAAATCTAATTTGATGTATTGTTGCAACTATTGTTATCAATGATAAATTACTTACAGTGACAAAATAATGCCATTGATTCAATGTTGTCTTGAAGTTCCATATGTCTGTTATTGCTGTATAAGCCAGGCGTGGAATAAAATAAAGACTAAAATCCACATTGTGGCAAATAGAGAATAGTTTCAAGAAACTGAATCCAGTTAGAATATGTACTATTAACAGTAAGGAAGCATGGCATCCTGCAAGCAGCAAGTAGGACCTCAGGTCTGAGAAAGCTTACCATCTGGTATCCCTCACTGCATTCAGCTCCTACCATCAGCGCTAACAGAGGCAAGTGACTATACTTCAGAAGAACTGATAAAATAATGAAGAGTCCTTTAATCTACAGGAAACCATTCTAGTCAATTTATAAGAAATATTGCGTCCCTTTGTAGGACATGTAATTATTTTCTATTAATCATGTGCTATAAAGCTATATTATGTGGTTATTCTGTTATCACTAGAAAGAGGCCTGCAGTCAGCTCCTGACAATGTTAGGTAATTACTAACACAAAGCTTCTTTCTCCTTAGTAGAAATGCTATCAAGATCCAGAGTTTCTCTGTTTACTGTATGAAAATAACGCTCCAAAGAAATTAAATAACTGCAAAATGAATTGGTTCACAAGACATATAGTATGTGTGGGGCAGAGGTGTGAAGGGGGGAGAGAAGGAGAAAAATCCTTTCCAACTAATACAACGAGGTAAACACAAGGAACAGCTAAATGTTTTCTAAATTGCTGATATATTTTAATTGTTCATTCTGAGACATAGTGGGTGATAGCTTTTTTTTTTTTTAACAGATGCTGATTATACAACAAAGTTAGTGCATCCAGTTTAAAGAAAGAATGAAAGAAAGCCACTCATTTAAAACTATTTTTGCTTTAACATTTATTCTCCATGTAGTGTATAGTATTTATATGTTTTTCTACAGATGCCCCTATCTACTGCCCCCAGACTGGCAACATGAATGTGTAAAGGTTAGCATGTGCTTAAGGCATTAAGGGACGCAGGCCTAAAAGGTTTTTGAGATTTGGTATGGTGCATTCAATGGATACACACTAGCAACTTTCATATTTATTTTATATTTTTATCTTATCATTTTTTAGCATATGAAACGTTCCCATAAAGAGAGACGTTCAAAATGTAAAATTTTTGCAGGAAGTTCTCTCTCATTCCCTTTCTAAGGGCCAGACCCCGAGCAGAGCGGAGTGTCTTGGACAGAAGGTTAGTACGCTTTCAACTCCCACAGACTGCAACATGAGATGAGGGCATCTGGCAACTTATGTGACTGTATTGCTTACTACTGAAATAAGGTGTCAGGTTTTAACAAGAAGTTAATTAAAAACTGGAACAATTTACCAAACATCATTGTGGATTCAAAATCACTAGCAATTTTTAAATCAAGATTGGATTTTTTTTTCTAAAACAGATGCTCTAGGAATTATTTGGGCCAAGTGTTACTCTGGCCTGTGTTACAAAGAAGATCAGATTAGATCACAATGGTCCCTCCTGGCCCTAGAATCCACGATTTCCTGTCATGTATTTTCTCTTTGGAAGTAAAGATTTCTGAAAGCCATCTTTGTATTTCAAGACATGGAAAACAATGAATTCATACTTCAGAAAACATCTAAAATGTGTGGATTATGATTCTTTTTTCTATACAACTGTAAAACTAACTTCTTAACAATTAAAGATTTGAAACTTTTAATCACAGCCTGTTTACAGATAAATTCTCCATCTCAATTCAATGAGTAGCCCCCCACCATCAGGCAGTAAAGGAGCAGGAGACAGGAAGAATTTTTTTAAAAAAATATCCTAACAGCCAATTTTGGCAAGATAATATTTAAAACCAACTCTAATTTGCCCAGGTGATTCAGACTATCTGGAAAATTTCGTGTATGTGTATGTCTCTATCTGATGTAATTGCTGATTGACACGTGATTGACAGGAGATCTTTTTGGCATAGAATGACATTTTCTCTAAAAAACAGCAAGTGAAAAATGCTTTAGATAACCGAATGAGACCTCTTCAGAGGTAGTAGAGTTGGTTTAGAAAAATAGGGTGTTTTAGGAATATAAACCTCAGATTTATTGTATGGAAGCATTATTAGGTTATGACATAACTTAATGAAATATAAATCAATTTAAGCTACAGTTCAAAGATGAGAACACAGAATTGAGTTTAAAATTCAAAATTGGTATCCTGAAAAACTTCTTAGAAGAACAGAAAATCTGTTTTATATGCATCACAAATCATAATGTCAAAATATTTCCTAGTGAGCTAGATAATATTAAGTGCTTATTAATAACAGATACAGTGTACACAGCTAAAATCACTTTTGACCTGGTCTGGGTTAGATATACCCACACTTCCAGGTCTTTACCGTTATCTTATTTTTTAACCATCATAAAGCAGGTTTCCTTTTTTGTACAGGACATACACCTAAACAAATGGAAAAAGGATAACTTACAGTGTAGTGTGATCACATGGAACTAAATTTTTGACAAATACAGATTTCATTATGACTAGGTAATCTTCAAATAAAAATATTCCATATTTTACCAGCATATACATCATGTCTTCATATAACTATTAAAAAGTGTGTTCTCTCTATACTTGATGCATCATACTTGTCAGACAAGAGTTCTACTTTTGTGCTCTATTCTATTTTCATATGCAGTGATCTGAGCTCACAAGACTAGTAGATTCTTTGTATTTTCATTAAACAAAACACAGGTTAAGAGGTGCACAATGGGGTGGTTATTTTTTTTAAATTTGTTAAAAGAGCTACCATTAAGCATTTACAGATGTTGAAAATGGTGTACAGAAATCCTTGCTTTACATCAGCAAAAGTTCCAGTGTCCTTAAGGAAAAGGGTTAACCAGTGAATGAAATTCCTATGAACAATAAATACTTACAAGCCTAGCGTCATGTTGTATTGGTGTATACTGAAGTAACAGGAAATGGGTAGAATTTCAGCAAAACTGGCTGAAATATGATGTTTGTCTTTCTAGTTAATGTTATTTGTTGCTTTTAGCAACAAATGTATAAATCTGTTTGGTATGAAAAGAAGATAAAGGTCAGCAAGGCTTGCATAGTATATGAATACAGGGTAATGGACTGCTAGAAGGATGAAGGGGTCTGCTAATGCACTCAGCACAGCATCATAATAATTTGCATCTGGCTGATGACATTATGAAGCTTTCCATTATGAAATACTCTTACTAGAAAATAATGCAACTGCCACCCATATATTTACTGCGCACACACTCTGAATCCAAAGCATAGCCAACTTTAAAAAAATATAGATATTCAATCACCCCTGCTTAGGCTTTATTTTTAAAAACAATTTTTATATACAAAATAAGATGTTTGGGATTTATAACAACTGACTCATCATAGTTTGTTTTCCCATTTATCATAGGATTTTGAAGTCAAATGAGAACCTACAACTAAACGAAAGTTAAGGACTTTCAGTACCTTGCAGAATTTGACCCCCAAAGTATTGCACTCCTAATGTAACGTTTGCTTTCTCCATGAGCTAACTGTAATTGGAAAAAAATCCTGGTGAAGCTCCTACATAACTGTATTACTTTTTTGTGGGATGGGATATAAGAACATAAGATTGGTCATACAGGGTCAGACCAAAGTGCATCTTGTCCAGTATCTTGTCTTCTTATTGTGGCCAATGCTAGGTAATCCAGAGGGAATGAACAGAATAGGTAATCATCAAGTGATCCACCCCCATTACCATTCCCAACTTCTGACAGACAGAGGCAAGGGACACCATTCCTACCCAACCTGGACCTATCCTCCATGAATTTATCTAGATCTTTTTTGGACTCTGTTATAGTCCTGGTCTTCACAAAATCCTCTGGCAAGGAGTTCTACAGGTTGATTGTGCATTATGTGAAGAAATGCATCCTTTTATTTGTTTTAAACCAACTACCTAATAATTTCATTTAGTGACCCCTAGTTCTTGACTTATGGGACCAAGTAAATAACTTTTCTCCACACCAATCATGATTTTATACACTTCTCTCATATTCCTCTTTAGTTGTCTCTTTTCCAAGCTAAAAAGCCTGAGTCTTATTAATCTCTTCTCATGTGACAGTTGTTCCATACCCCCTAATATTTTTGTTGCACTTTTCTGAATTTTTTCCAATGCCAAGATATCTTTTTGAGATGAGGCAACTACATCTGCATGCAATATTCAAGATGTGGAAATACCATGAACTTGTAGAGAGACAATAAGTTGTTCTCAGTCTTATTCTCAATCCCGTTCTTAATTCCTAACATTGTTTGCTTTTTTGATTGCTGCTGCACATTAAGTGGATGTTTTCAGTCCAAGATCATTCCAAGATTTTGCTCTTGAGTAGTAACAGCTGATTTAGTCCCCATCATTTTATATGCGTTGTTGAGATTATGTCTTTCAATATGCATTATGTTGGATTTATCAACATTAAAATTCATCTGCCAATGAAGGAAGTACACATTTCTGAAGGTTGAATAAAATAGAATAAATATGACAAAACACTTGTGCATGGGCATGCACAGACACATACACAAACATGAATACACACACATTCATGAGAACTAATACAAATATTTACATGATATCAGCATAAGTGTATAACTGGACAGATTCACTCTAATCAAATAAAGGTAATCTTTTTAGCTAACAGACTACTTATAAAAATGTGCTATAAAGCATTTGTTCATAAAATCTGTTATTTAAAAATTCTCAAAATTTTAAGGAAATACTTAAAAGTAAAAGTTTACAGCAAAAAGTTACATGTTCTCCTTCTATGGGAAGAACTGGTAGATGTAATATTACTTAGGTGCAAAAATTTAGAATGCAAAAATGCCCCAGACTTGGAAGGTAGCTCAGCCAGATTTCAGGGCTCAGTGCTAACAAGGGAAATCTACTTTTGTTCAGGAACACATTACTGCTAACGTGTGTTTGCAGGATCAAGGTAGTAGTGTGCAATGTTGATTTCAACAGGATTACTCATGAGTATGTCAAACAAGAATTGGCCTTCTGTAGTGTTTAGCTACACTGGCAAATAAATTACAAATAATCAATGTGTAAATGAAACCATGATTATTTGATCTAGGTGCAATGAAACTAGAATCACCTCAACTATTACATATTGTCATCTTATTTTCAATATCTTTTTAAAATGTAAAAATGCTATAATTTTTCAAGTCAAAACAAAATTGCTTCTGTTACAGTAATACACTTACCGAATTGAGAGAAAAAAAGTCATTTGTGAAAACTTCTATAAGGTACTGTAGAGAGCATGTAAAAATAACATTTTTTGGCAGAAGATACAAAAGTAGTGTTGGTAGAAGTTAGAAATACATATTTTGTCAAGTTCATGAGATTTACATTTCTCTATAAAACAAATACCAAACATTTTTCTTAATATTGCATTCTTCCTTCAACATATAACACTTGCACTTAATTCCTTATCAGTGAAACATGATTGTGCCATGATTAATGTTAAAACCTAGCTGACACATGATAGGAAAGTAATAAGCCACGCTGGAATTGAATTTATGACACCATTTTGGATCTACACACATTACCTTGTCAGCAACTGCATCTCTCATTTTCAACCACTAGATGGTGTAAAAAAATTAAAAAATTGCCTAAGATTCATACTACTGCTCAAAACCCAAGTATTAATCTACTATATTAAGAAATATGGGTTGCAGAAAAGTCTTTTCCGATTTTAGGGCTCTAGATTACATTTTACCTTGGTTGTTTCTTAACAAACCCTTTGTCTGGTTAGTAATGATCAGATAGATCTTGAAACTGAATGAAGTGGAGGGTTACATAGATAATTTCCTGGCACTTTACCTTCAGGACTCTAAATTCAGAGCTGACAGTAGTGGCCAAAACTAATTTTTCCTGAAAAAGCTCTAATCAATCCCTTTGTGAAAGAAGACTGAATACTGTGGACTCTGTTTTGGGGTAGAAATCAACCCTCACCAGAAGGCTTCTACTTGTCTGAAGTCAGAAAAATTAGCAGGCCAGTCTCAAAGACTGAATATGCATTAATCAAGGTACAACCCAGAGAGGGTGGAGAGATTAAGCTACATTTTCTTCCCTTCTGTTCTAATTTTATGCTCGAATTTTTAAAGTGAGTTCTTTCAAACTATCTGTAGGAGAGGGGTAAATAGTTGTTAATTGTCTAAGATTTAATTAGCTCCTTGTGGCATTAAATAATAGTAAAAAAAAAAAAGAGGCTCATGTATATAGTGATATTGTTTGCTTATATTTTTCCATATTTGTTAGGAGTACTGATCTTCAGTTCTGAATGGCAGTCTGCCCAACCAAAAAACCGTATCCTACTTTTATTAATGTAATTCGGTTATTAGCTTAAGTGACAATGAAATAGCTCAAAAGAACCTCATGGTCATATCATCATTAGCAATACATCTTCTATATTTTTATATATGACTATCTTTCCAACCGTAAATCTGAAAAGTTATTTAAACAGAAGCCATACATTCATTATCCAAAAACACTGCAGTTAAATGAATCAAGGAAGATTTAAAGCAACAGTGATGAAACTGAAAGTTTCAAACTAACAGAAAGAGTATTGCAGCTTTAATGGGGTTATTTATTATTTCTGCGCACAACTCCAGAGTTTAAATGAGCCCCAATGCCTTCAGCATTGTACTAAATGACAATTGTGGGTGAAGGAATGTAACTGAGAAGTGCTACTACAAAAAAATTTTTTCAGTTTATTTACTGTGGAAACTAAGGATTTTTGTACATGAGGTGAAGAAAAAAATTACTCTCAGACGAACTCACATGTAAACTTCAGTGGACTTTGTGTAAGTACATCCAAGGAAAGCATTTTGTCCTGATTGTTTAAGAAAGGTAGGCAAATTAATCTATCTTATAATAAAACATGTCTGCGAGTTTAATTCAAGACATTATATTGTTACAGAAAACCTCTGTGGGTTTTTTTTAAGCAAACAGGAAAAAGTGGTGAATTAAAAATTGCCTGAATCTGTCAGAACAAACATACACAAAGCCTAAATTGTCAGAACAGCTGCAGTGTACACAAAGAAGATGAAAGCTCAGTTTTTAAAACAAACTGTTTCCAGTAGCAAGATGCCCAGAAAACCAGAATCAACACACACAAGAATATAAAGGAAGAGGAAATAAAATTCATAACACACAACATAATATAGTATACCCTACAAGGTTAACTTTTACCTAGAGTAAGCACATAGTCTTCAATTAAATTAGCTAGAGGATGTTAGGCAAGATTAAATGAATAGATAAACATACTTTTAAGTTGTCTCCTGTTACATGGTTATGTTTTAAATGTGATTATATTTCATTTGACAATATAATTCATTACCATGAATGTCTGATTTCTAACAAAGGCTCTAAAGGGAGTGCCAGTCCTTCCCTCCCCCCCCAGCCCTGTAATATTGTAGTATGGTATGACTCTTTTCTTACACCAATTTACTCTCAGTAGCATACTGTACCTTGCTGAGAATGTAGATAACATCACCACGTTTAAATGACAACTCATCAGGAACGTCTCCTGTGCAGTCCCATAAACCTTGGTAGAAATTAGTATAATCGGTATTTTTATCCCCTAGGGAGAAAAAAAGCGTACATTAAAACCTTCCAGCATTTGTAATCTTTTATCATCAAAGGCAGCAATTAAATCTTCACGCACCAAACAAAAGGTGGGCTAAAGCACATTTCTCAATACTCGCTGTAGAAATCTGCCACATCCCCACAAAAAAAAATTCAATCAGAAAACCAGTTTAACATGTGAACGCTTCATTTGGTAACAGTTGTGTCACCCAAAACATGCAGCTACAGGTTCTTAAAGCATTTAGCAGCTGCATCTCACAGCACCTAGTTCTTTACTAACATATTTGCAGCAAGCAATGTTTGTATCTTAACTTGAAAAGGGTAACATGTTAAAGTGCAATTAATAAAATTGGTGAGAAAAGATCAATGGTAAGCAATTTTTTGGCACACATCTTTCTTTTCAGCAAGGTTTTCCCTTTTTTGAGAGTCTTTCATATATTAAGTCTTTGGTTGTTACTGCTGAAAGATTGTAGCAACTTTGAAACTGTTTGCTGAAACAGCATTTCTAAAATATTTGGTGTCAGCTCCAGTTTAAGACATTTAAACCCTGGCTAAACATGCAACATACACCATAGTCATAAGCTCATCCTTCTAACAGCATAAGCACAATGGATGTGCAGTGTTCAAACTGCCATACAGACCATTAACTGATTGATTATTTAGCACTCTTTGCTCCGTAATACTGCAATAACAGAGTAATAAATGCTTTGTCGTATGCTTATCATACAGAATACATCTACTGGAACACAGAACTTAAACATGGTTAAATACACTGGACACTTCTGTTACACTACAAATGATTTCCTGTTTTTAATTTTGTGAAAATGGACTATGATGAGTTAACTCACAAAGAATGTAAGCAATGCCAATAAGCTGACCAGTTACATTATGTATACACAAACCAGACAGAGTATGTACTAACAATTTACAACACTGGAAAGCTATCTTCTAATTCTGATAACATAAATATCACCGAACTGACTGAATCAAGGGTATCATTTTAATTGTGTTATATGATCTTGGAACTGCAGGCTTGCTGATTATTCCAACATGCATACGTCACATTTGCCTGTCACTAGGATGCTAAACAATTATTGATAGGTCGCAATTTAATCATGATTGGTTCTTTATTACAGGAAAAAAAAATTCCCTTAAAATATCAGATAACAAATAGGAGAAATTGCTACACAATTTTTTTAAAGTATTTCTCTGTTAATGTTGTTATTCTCTATTTGGCAAACATTTTGACTTAAGTTGAAATGTTTCCTACAGCAGCAAGAAGAGCTGCTTTGTATTTATTTACTTCAGTTTGTGAGCTAGCACTTTCAGATGTCATTACTGACCTAAGCAAGAATCTGCACAATTCTGGCACAAATTAAAACGGCTATGCATGCCATTTGTTATCTTCTATCACATAGCACTAGAGGGCACTAGGGCTAGCAGCATAGAAATTCTGCTATGATCCCACCAAAATAGAGATACAATTTTAAAAAACCTCAGCAATAAAGTGGTTTATTTTTTAAATGTAGATGTTTAGACAGCATAACATTTGGAGGAGACTGCATCAGGTTCAAAATCCTTTGCAACGTCTAAGTATTGGCCCTAACAAACTTGTCTGTCCGTTGATTATTCACTGAATCTAGAACTCACTGAATAATGCAAGATGATAAAATGAATATTGCATCTCTACCACCAGATTTTAATACTGCAAATTATTTTAGTTACCTGATTGAGCATACTGCTCTGTACAATTTTTATTAAAGCAAACTGAAGCTCCTGCTGGTTTGTTGCAATTTCGTTGCAGTCTTTGACTAATTGTCTTTTTTAATATACCAAATCAAACTTTTACTTCTTCAGAGTTACACAAACATGAATTATGATTTCTTACACATGACACTTATCCCCTTAGGGTTTTTTCTTCCCATTGAGGAGCCTGGTGGAATTCCTATTAACATTAATGGGAGTTACATGGGGCACATCGACAGGAGAAGAGATCCCACAGAGAGTGAGATGCATCTCTCCCTTGATGAGCATCACGAGTATTTCATTAAGCCTTGGAGTGTAAATGCAACTGAACTAATGACTTGGCAACACCAGAAAAGATGCATTTTAAAATAAGCTAATCGCTACCCAATGATGTTACCCAAAGACCAACCATGGCTCTGTGCTCTCATATGTGAAATCTACATGAGAAGAGAGCTGTTTTCACCAGCGAGTCACGCGTTTTAGACAGTAATTGGTAGGCCAGGGGGATGAAAAATTATCAATAAGAAAACATGGCAGTATACATTTAAGTTACTTTACTCTCCCAAGCATAGCAGTGTATAAATTCCAGATAAGAAATCTGGACATGAAAAATTAAGTTAGAATCTCCTGGCCACAAAAGTATCTTATTAAGTATGTGCATAATCACACTTGTATAATCTTAAGTATGGACATATCTTTAGAAGCAATATGTTTCAAGCAAAGTAGGCTTCTTTAAAAGATTGAGCTAATATTGTTTATGGTGCCGAAGCCACACAGAAAGAGACAGTGAAAGATTTTGTAACAGACTCACGCTGCATTCTAAAATACATATAAAAACATTTATTGCTCATTCCCTATTTTACAGATGTATGGTAAGTTCTGAGTTCTGGCCTGATTTCAGAAATTATACAGAACCACCACCCTGTGTCTTTTGCCTTCAGCTGGAGAAATGCATAAAAGAAAGTCAGGTGACTAGTGAAAAAAGAATTTCTCAGAGGGATGGTAAAGAAATTATGCTGA